ATTTATTTATTTATTTATTTATTTTTTTTTTTGACCAAATAATTTCAGTTTTATTTAGCTTTTTCCAAACTTTGACTGGTTCAACTATGGTAAAATATATTAAAAAATTAAATAAATAAGATGTATAACATAGGTCATAGTAGGTCATAATAGGTCATAATTACGACTAATTGAATAAAAATGAAACAACCTTTCTGGTCAACGCTCTGTATTCGTTTGTGGGCGTGTGGGCAGCTATGGTCATTGTTTGTAATAATAGTGGACACGGGAAGAGCTGGCGTATTGCATGCTCTGTTGGGAGAATTCTATGAATTTGTTTTCAAAATGAGTTGGAAAGTTTATCTGCAGGTATTTTTCTCATGTGTATCTCTCATTTATGTGTGAAGATTCCACTGCTTTTGACATAGTTTACAAGGAGCCCGTCTTACGTGATTGACTGTAGTAAGGCATATTTGTATAAGACCTCTTTCCCTCAAAACTGTTATTTAGATTTCTTTTTTTATCTCATGGGAGCAGGTTTTTTTCATGTGTGTGGGAGTGGGCAGCAAGAAAAAAAAGGCAGGTGACCTCTGGAATGGTGAATGATTTTGTCTTTTAATAGAAATGAGATTCAGTGGTGGAAGTTCATGTTGAAAATGTGCAAAATAAATCAATAAAAACAAAAACATTTTTTAAGGTGAGACATTTGAGAGATAATGATATAATAATAGAAAATAATGAAAGTCTGGATATACCTAGGCATTACTGAATAATAAGAATTCAGTACATGCCAAGACATTCAATGAGCCTCAAAAACCCTTGTTTCCTTGTTTACGTGTAAATCTGAGTCTAAAACCCCAGTGAAAATTAGCCTCATACTGTCTTTGGTTGGCCACTACATTTCCTACTGAGATTATGTATTTTCCCTTAATTTCTAAATTCAACACATCATTTTGTATTTCTTATCTATACAGGATATATTGAAAACAAGACCAGTATTTTAGAGCTGTCTTGTAATGCAATCATGCTTTCATGCAACAGAAAAGTGACAACCGGAAACAAACTTAAAGCATGGAGAAAAATAAAAAGCAAAAGCACTGGGTCTTTGAGTTGTGTCTAGCTGTCTGAAAAAAAAAAAAAAACTGTAGACACGTAGAAAGTACATGCAACTACTTCTAATATTTGGTAAAGCGAAACGTTGGAGCCTTAGGTTTGACAATACGCACGCACACACACACACACACACACACACACACACACACACACACACACACACACACACACACACAGTAGCCTATTTATTTGTTTTGCCATACGTTTGTTCTAGAAACAACTTGAGCATGCCAATTTGCAACTTTGTTGCCTTACTTTGTTACTTTTGCCTACTATGTTATTTCATAGCTGCACAATAAAAACACCCCACCTTCTGACGGAATCTTGCTTTCCAACTCTTTGATTTTACTCTCCAGTTGTTCGATTTCTTTCTTATGTTTTTCCTCCAGTTCTCGTCTGACTCTGTTCTCTTGGGCTTCCACACATATCTGAGGTGAATATGGTTCAGTCTCCATCTTCTCTATATACTCCAGCAGTTCTGGGATCTGTCTTGACTCTTCATGTTCCTTTAACCCAATCACTCTGTACTGACTTCCACAAAGACTGATCAACTCCTGACAATCTGGGTAGATGTCCACAAGATCAGTAGCAATTCCATCATCAGTGGGCTTTTTTGTGAAGAGCAGAATGACGTGATCTCTAGAGTCAAATATCTTCAGGATCTTCTCTATCTCTGCTTTATCTTCAACAGTCAGTGGACCAACAGGAACAATAATGAGGAAAGCATGAACTCCAGGATCACTGAGAGACACACAGCGGAGAGTGTGATGCATCACTTCCTCCTCTGAGAGACGACTGAGAGCTGGAAGATTCACAAGACTGATCTGACGACCATGACTCTTCTGTTTCTTCACACACTCTTCAGTGCCGTCTGTCTGACTGGAATGACAGAGAAGCTTCGACACTGAGACTGTATGTGTAGCATTACTTCCACACAGAACCAGATTCAGCTTCTGTTGTCCAGATGCATGTGTTGACTCTGAAAAACACATAAGAAACATGAGAGGACAATGTTCACACTCATGCTGTGAATGTATCCTTTTTAAAGTTTTATTATGGATTTCTTTAAATCATTTATCAGTGTAATTCTTTATAGCTGCTGTTATTTTTTACATTTATAACAAGTATATGGTTATCATTGCCTCACATATGGTTCGAGACCCGGCTGGGCCATTTGGCATTTCTGTGTAAGGTTTGCATGTGTTGCAATGTTCATTTGGGTGCTCAGGTTTTCACCAGAGTCCAAAGACATGCGCTATAGGTGAATTGGATGAACTAAGGCCCAGTTTATAATAAAATGTTTTAGTTTTAAAATGCATAAATTTTGCTATGGTTATACCTTCCGTCCATACTACCCCCAGAGAGAGAGAGAGTTTTACAAAAGCTGAAGAGGCCATGTTTGTTTTAAAATGCTGCTGCTTGTGTCTGTGTGAATAGAGGAAATCTGAGACATTTGAAAATGAAGGCATAGATGCCGATATTTTCTTCCTGATTTGGGCCATTTCTCAATATCAAGTACACAAATTCAGACTTGTATTTCTGGGGCTTATAACAAGTGTTAGAAATGGGAATGTTTTTTTTTTTTTTTTGATATATATGGAATAGTGTACCTTTATAACATTAACAAATCTTAACAATAAAATAAACATCGTAAGTTTGATGTTAACAAAATGTTAAGGCATTGTGTACATATCTATATGACCATAATTTCACAATGCACATTTATTACAAAAGGGAGCCTCTTAGTTTAACTGCCTCCTTTCATTTTTAATGAAAAATATGAAACATTAGGCTTAAGCCTGGTTTATACTTCTGCGTCAAGTGACCGGCGTAACCAACGGCGCATGCAACGTGCGTGTGATGAAGAGTCAGACGAAGCAGGATCCATTTGCAGCATCTTTATTGAAAATGACACAAATAAACAAGCAGGTGTACATTTCACAGTCAAGATGGGTAAATCAAGGTACTCACTCAAAGTCGGTCACAAGCAAAGTTGTAGGCAGGCAGCAGGAATACATAGACGAGTATACAGGGTAGGATCTGGGCAGGCGGCATAGAATCCCAGGCAAACAATCGGTCCGGGTCAGCAACAGTAAACAGTCAGATAATGCAGGAAACGCTTGGAATTGACTGCAGAGCAAAACAAGACTTCGCACTGAATAACAGGCGAGAAGGGCTTATATGTGTGTGTGTATAGGTTTCAGCTGGACGGTAATCAAGGTACCGAGGGGTCTTGTGGATAATGGTGTTCGTTATACTTCAGTAGTCGGGCGAGCGGAACCTCTGCTGGTTGGTGAGGCTATTAATTGGGACCAAATCTGTAACAGCGCGTAGCTGTGCATTTATACTTCTGCGCGCTGTCTCTGTTGGTCTGCATTAACACTTCCGAAACACTAGTTGGCAGTGAGGTGTTTATGTTTCTTTGTGTCGAGTCTCTTCGCTGGTGTTTTGCCTTTCCTGAGCACTTCCTGAATGTACAAGTGACTCAAACTCGCTCATTTTGAGGCAGGAACAGGCGGACGTGCAACAACTTTAACTATGAGGTAAACACAAAACAAAACTTTCCATCCGGAGCTCCTTCACGTGACTCCACAATTATAAACAATCGCTCCATCGGGGTCACGCAGCTCTCGGTCCTGCCCAGACTCGTCAGCGATACCGAGCCGGCCAATCACAGAGCTTGCGCTACGCGTCGTTGCGACGTGTAGTTACATTTTTTGAGAGGTGCACATCAGCGATGCCCACGGTGTAGGGCTATGAGTCAACGCCGTAGCATACGTGTTTGTTGACGCAGAAGTATAAATCAGCATTTACTGTGTGGTTTTAGCAATGTGCTTAATGTTAGACTATATGCATAAAATAAAGATTATCAGAGCAAATACATATTGAGATACTTTTTCTCTTTTGCTGAATATCATTTGTAATAATCAATTATGGCCATTATAATGTACAATAAGTTTATACAATATAGGAAATAAATGCAAGCAACTTAGAGAATCAGTGTACTTTATGATTACATATCTTATCTTTGCACTTTAGCCAAACATGTTACCTGAGAAAAAGTACATTTACACTTAGGCTACATTAAATTGTCATCAGCTATGCTATTGTCCAAAGTGACTTCGAATTGAGAAGGAGGTATTCAGCGATTCAACAACAAGAGAAAATACCAACAAGAAGTGGTAAATATACAATGAAATCGTTTGTGCTCAGAGAATAATCAGAAGGAAAGTAGGAAAGTAGGTCCCACTTTATATTAAGTGTCCTTAACTACTATGTACTTACATCAAAAAATAATTACAATGTACTTACTGTGTTTATAATGTATTTGAGAACACTTGTGGTGCTGTTGAGTTGGGATAGGGGTTGGGTTATGGACAGGTTTGGTGGCATGGGTAGGTTTAAGGGTGGGTTAAGGTGTAAGGGATGGTCAACAGTGTATTTACAAATGTAATTACAAAAATTAATTACAGATGTAATTACATGCATGTATTTAATCAAGCATAAGTACACAGTAAATACATGTATTTACACAATAAGTACATTGTAACAATTTATTAATTCCTGTTTAAGTACATATTAGTTAAGGCCACTTAATATAAAGTGGGACCGGAAAGGAATTGTATACTTTTAAATATATAAATTTTGTAGTAAAATTGTATGCTTTATGCAATAAGTTTTCTGCTAGTATTGCTTTTATAAGTGTACTTGCAAGTGCACTATTTCACATAAGTACTTTAAGTAGATTAGACTTGTGACAATGAATTAATGCAATGTTCAGTAGTATAACAATATGCTGCAAAAAGGGTACTTTGACAAATGTGAAAAGAGAAATCTGTACATTTTTGTGTATTGTTTTGTTGGATTTAAATGTTCAAAATAAACATGTTTTAAACTAAATGATAAAAGTCTCATTAGTAAACATTAATGCATTAATTGTAAGACCAAAAGTGAGAAATAACTAAAAATGTCAAATTAGTAATTATAATAATGATAAAATAAATAAAAATACCTTCATGACTTATCTCTTTGAGATCTTTTTCATAGGAACTTTCATAATTTTCTTCCTCAGATTTCTTCTCCTCTTTATCCTCTGATGTTCGTTTGACATCTTCATATATTGTACAAGTGAGATATGTTTCCTTTTTTCCCTTCAGAATCTCCTCAACCCTTTTCAGTATGTCAGAACGCCATCCTGTTTTTTTTTCATTCAGTTGCAGATGTCCTCCTCCACACTCCGCTATTAACAGATTCACTGCAGTATTTTTGGAGAAATAACTAAACACTGATCCATGTGTCTTGTCATCAGTCGTGAGCACTATGGTGCGTTTGATGGCCTCTTCACTGAACTCCTTCAGGACACCTTTTACTCTGTATCTGTCCTCATCGGTGAAGTCTTTAAGATGCAGTACGATGATGAAGACATGAGGTCCTGGATCAGACAGACTCACACACTCTCTGACTGTCTGTGTGATCTGATGAAGAGACAGATTAGGCTGAAGCAGCTGAGGACTGTTGATGAGCATCACATATCTGTGATTCAGTCTTCCTTCAATTCTCTGACTGCACTGCTGGAGCTTCATAGTAACTGATGTTTTACTCTCAGGCCCATCTCTCTCTAAAATGAAGTTTGCCACATGTCTGTTATCTGACATGCTTTTCCCCAGAAGAACAATCCTCAGATCACTCACTAAAACACAAAAACAACAGACATGAAATTAGGCATTATGTGTAACAACTTATATTTGATAGTAACTTTAACTTAATCTGATTGTAACGGAATAATGTGCACCTTTTTTAAAGCTGCTTTGAAACAACAATTATTGTAAGTGCTACACAAATAAACTTCGATTGAAATCAAAATGGCTTTGAAGCTGGTTTGACAACTTTAGTTTTTACTATTAACTCTTAAAAAAACACACGTATTGCATCTTTATCAAAATAATTTTTCTGTGTAATTATACAAACATGAAAAACATTAAAATATCACCAAAAATAATAGGCATTAATAAGACGAAAGATTGTCCATTGCATTTACAATGAATTAACTCAAGTACTGAATGTTCGGAGTGATCCCAACAATGATAGGTGTGACCCAAACAAATTATTCACCAACACATCTTTAAAGTCTTTGCTTCTAATTTCCCAAAATGCTAGTCTTGTGGGTCAATATTTTACAGAAGGTTAGCATCTCTTTTTTTTTGCCTCATTTATTGTCTGATGAAAGCCAGCACCAATACTTCATTGCTTCAGTAGAGGGCCAGCCCCGTCACGGTCACACAATGAGGACAAAGAAGGTTATCTCTTTTCATCAATTCATTCAAACAAACAGTGGATTAATAAACAGGGGAAGCAGGCAAGTGAGAGTCTTTGCAGATGGTATATTGTTTACGATGTAAACAAGGATCTTCAGTCAGACATAAAGCGTAAAGTCGCTTCTGAGGAGCCACTGACTGAATGCAATCGCTGGGTTATGCTGCGGTCACACTATTTTGTGCTAATCTGCTGTGTTAACTAAATGATGCATGGAAAATTTTGCTCCAAGTGCCTGTTAATATCTAATCCTAGTGCTAATGTCACAAGCACAGTTGGCAAGTTAATTCTAAAATGTAATACATTATATATTACTAATTACTGTCATAAATCGAGGTCCCGACTCTCTGTGGTCAACAAAAATCTGCTGACAGTCATTTAGCCAAAAACTTTTTTAAAATCCGGCCATAAACCCAACTCCAGCAATAGTAACTAGACAAACTATTTTATCTCACTCTGCTGCTGCAGTGACATGGTTCCCCTTCGGTTGGGGAACTTCAGTGCTATACAGTGGATTTGATTTTGAAAATCCACGTATGGGAGGATTCGGTTCAGAAGCCGCTTGTCTGAAAGAGTATTGAACGGGCCAATGAATGCAATGAATTGGCAGCGTAAGCTTGCACAGGTGTGCTTCATTGCCAACTATCCCATCATTAAAGCACACGTGGAGCGAGCAAACGCCATCCTTTTCACTTCAGAGACTTTCTGATCGAGTCAGGCAAGCTCAACCGTGCAGCCGATGCGCTCTCACGGCAGCCTTACGTCCTGGAGAATGGAGACTCCACCCCGAGTCTGTTCAGTTGATATGGGCGCGATTCGGGGAATCCCAGATCGATCTGTTGCTTCCCCCGAGATCGCTCATTGCCAGTTGTTCTTTCCCTGACCGAGTGCTCTCGGCACGGATGCACTGGCTTTACAGCTGGCCTCGGGGCATGCGCAATACACGTTTCCCCCAGTGAGCCTGCTCGCGCAGTTACTGTGCAAGGTCGGGGAGGACGAGGAACAGGTTGCTGGTTGCACGCCTCTGGCTCAACCGGACCTGGATGTCGGAGCTCCCCCTCCTCGTGATGGCCCTACCCTGGCAGTTCCCTTCGAGAGAGCACCTACTCTCTCAGGGACAGGGCACCATCTGGCACCCTCACCGATCTTTGGAGGTCCTTAGACACGAGGAAGACTTAGGTAACCTCCGATTGCGATGGCTAATACCGTCACTCGGGCTAGAGCCCCCTCCCCGAGCGCGCCTATGCCCTGAAGTGGTGTCTATTCACTGAATGGTGCGTCTCTCGCAGAGAAGACCCCCGTAATTTGCCAGATCAGCGTTGTGCTTTCTTTACGCCGAGGGAAGCTGGAGAGCAGGCTGTCGCCCTCCACACTCAAGGTTTCGTGGCTGTCATCTCCGCTCTCATGACGCGGTGGCTGGCAGCACCGTGGGAATGCATAACCTCATCATCCGGTTCCTCAGGGGCGCTAAGCGAATTAATCCACCTCGCCCCCTCTCATGCCCTCTTAGGATCTCACCCTCGTTACACGAGCCGCGTCAGATCCTTTTGATCCTCGACTCAGTATCTTTCTGTCCCTGAAGACAGCTCTGCTGGTCGCGTTGATATCGATTAGAGGGTCGGGGACCCGGAGGCATTTTTTCGGTCAGTGACTTGTGCCTGTAATTGGGCTGGCTTTCTATCACGTCCTGACACCCCGCCCGCGATATGTGCCCAAGGTTAATACGAGGTAGTGAGCCTGCAAGCGCTGCCCTCGGAGGAGGCAGACCCACCCCTTTCTTTATTGTCCAGTTCGCGTCTTGTGTATTATCCGGACCGCACTCAGAGTTTAGATCATCTGAGCAGCTCTTCGTCTGTTATGGCGGTCGGCAGCAGGAAAGTGCCGTACAGAATTAAGTTCCCACTGGTTTGTGGATGCCATTCTCTCACTTATCAGAGCCAATGAGCCACGTCCCTCCTCTCAAACGTGCGCGCACGTGGCGCCTCTCTAACAGACATCTGTAGAGCTGCGGGCTGGGCGACACCCAACACATTTGCAAGGTTTTACAATCTGCGAGTGGAGCCGGTTTTCTCAAGGGTATTAGGTAACCCTTGGTGATTGAGGAAACAACTCGGTAGGGTGTTGAAACACGCTTGCTACGCCATTCTCCCTAACACAGAGGTACGTGCACCTTTTTATCTGTCAGTAAAGTTCCCCGTCAGGTGAGCCCTGCAGATTACTCCGTGGCCCCCAACACTGACTCAGCGGAGGAGTCACTTGCTGGCCCACTACGTTGTAGGTCTGCCCGCTGGTCAGCCCGCGTTTTGGGTATAGCTGCCTGCTATGCGTGATCCCCACTAGGTGATCCTAAATGCTTATTCCGCCACGGTTAAGTCCCCCCCCCCTGGGCGGACCCGAGTCTTCCCTCCCCGCTAACCACTCTTTTGCTATGCGTACTCCCCCTTTTTAGGGCTAGTCCATATGTAAATTCTGCCATCTATTCCCCCTTGGGTAGCGGATGGCCTCCGCAGCGTCCTCCCTATCGGGATTGCATGCTTCCCAACGTTCTGTCGTACTTTCCTAGAATTATCTAGACGCTCACGACTTCCCAAAAAATATATCTAAATCCGTAAGACTTCTGTTGAAGTAGGATAAATTAGGGCCAGGGACATGTTTGAGGACCGCGCCTCCCATTATGTGGGTGCGTCACGCTTGCTTGACTATCCCCTCATCTGGGGCGTTGGTAAGGTGCAGTCATTATGGCGCTTTCCATAGTCTTCCCGTGGATTTTCAATATCAAATCCACTTAATAGCACTGAAGATCCCCAACCGAAGGGAAACGTTTGAGGTTACAGAAGTAACCCTTCGTTCCCCAATGAGGGGAACGGAAGTGCTATACTTCATCGCCATAATGACTGTCCCTTAGCTGTTTGAAAGTCTCTTCAGCTTAAAAGGATGGCGTTTGCTCGCTCCAGGTGTGCTTATATGCTGGGATAATTAGCAATGAAGCACACCTGTGCAAGCTTACGCTGCCAATTCATTGCATTCATTGTCCCGTTCAATACTCTTTCAGACAAGCGGCTTCTGAACCGAATCCTTCCCATACGTGGATTTTCAATATAAAATCCACTTAATAGCACTTCCGTTCCCCTCCTCGGGGAACGAAGGGTTACTTCTGTAACCTCGAACATTGTTTGCCGTGTCCCCCCAGATGTCACCACACGGTCTCCAATCTAGCCAATGGCATTAAAGTGGTAACAGGAGGCTTCTCGCGAAGCCCTGAATTTCTGTGTGTTGTGTGTCAGTGAAATTGCTATCCATTTTCTGTGTGTGTTACAGTCTGGTACACACTGTAAAAAGTGTTTCATTGGATCAAAGTAAAAAAAATTGCGTCAACTTGTTTCACCTAATTACTTTATATCAACTTAAATTTTTTACTTTAAAAAGAATTAATTCTCTATTACTTAGCCAAAGCAAAAAAATCTCTTTGAACCAAATAAAGTTTTTAAGTTTTTTGAAATCTCAAATTTACTTTATTTACTCTTAATCTTTTTACTTTGTATTAACTTAATTATTTTACTTTACATCAAATCAAATATCCAATGAAATACAATTTAAAATATTAGTACACGAGTAAGAGCATCACTTTCAAGTGTCACTAAAAGTGTCATGGTGGTCTTTTCAAATTCACCCGTTGCTTCCTCCCTCTGGTCTGCCTAAAAACATACAAGAAAAATAAAAGAGTTAATAAGGAAGTTTGGGGAAAAAAAAACATTTTTTATAAAAAAAAAAACGCTTCTTCATCTGAAAATTCTCTTACAAAATTGAGTTAGCCATTTTGTAGTTAGCCATTATGGTGGGTAATGTAGAGGCCAAATGTCTGTAGCTTGCTTTAATTAAAATATCCTCATTTTTGTAAATAAATGTGTATGTTTTATTACAAGACAACATTTTAATTTTTGGGTGGAGATGTACTTTTACACCCTCTTTAGCTTCAAAAATGCTTTTAACATTTGTACAAACTAACACTTCTAATGTGATGACCATTGTAGACAACTTTGTTGAGTGCAGTACCACAATTTCTAATCAGAGGCATTTATTAATCTACTCAACATTGTTCAAAATGCAGTTAAAAAGGAAAACAAATGCTTTTAAGGGAGTAGTTCACATTCAAAATTTAGCCATCATTTAACCACCCTTTTGACATTTCAAATCTGAATGAAATACTGTCCTCTGCAGAATTTTGAACAATGTTGATAATAGCCCCTGTTCACTATTATTGTATTGACACAAAACCAATGCAAGTGAATAGGGGCTCTTAACAACATTCTTCAAAATATATTATTTTGTGTTCTGTGAAAGAAGTCACACAGGCTGATGTGTAAATGATAACACAATAACTTGAACCACTTTAAAGTAATGTCATTACCAAATCAGAATTCACCATGTTTTACTCACCCTCAAGGCTTGAGCAAAGTGGTAAAATATTGATTTGAAAGTGAAATATAACCAAGTCAAATATTGCTGGAGAAAATTTTAGGAGTTTGCATTGTCAACATTACCTGGTATTCTTTGATCAGACAGCTTGCATCTTCACAAAGGTACATGATCAGGCACTTCAGCAGGCACTGTCTTCTGATGTCTATGTCCAGGCTCTAAAAATGTTCAAGATGTATTGTTTTCATTAGACCAAAACACTATTAATTAATTGCTACAAGCTATTTTGTTTGTATGCAACCAATACCTGATCCATAACTTAAATAGTGTCCTTCGCTTTTTCACGGAGGACTCCACCTTTGCTCTTAATAACCTGGAGAATCTGAGAGCTCTGTCTGTCCAAAGAGACCATAAATTTCAACTATAAAGGTAAGGTTGTGTTGTGCAAAAATTTAGCATCAATCTGTAAGAAAGAGAAATAGAAAACAGACTTATGAAAAAAGTTACTTTGAGAACTAACAGTAAAAATACATATACACACAAACCATTAAACAATAAAAAGGTTTAATTAGGTCATCTAAGACATTTTCAAAAACATTAGATGCTACAACCCCATGGTAAAAACTATGGTAAATTCAGGATTAGTCATGTACATTTTAACATTTATCAATAAAAAAATGTTTTTTTATTTATTTATTTTTTACCTCCTCTTGTTGAAACAGTGCTGGCCATCTTTCTTGCAGTTCTTGAGAGTATGATTGTATCATCAGTGCTGCCAGAGCTAACGGAGGACAGAGCATCATCATTAGACTGGGTCCCATCAATAGTGATGAATAAGTATTTGTCTGGCAAGGGCATAATCTTTAGAGTGTCAAGACTCTGAAGTTCTCCAGTGTTTGTCAAACTTACAAATACATCCCCAAAATCTTTGTCCTGATACTGTAGTCTGACTCTGTCATTTAATCCAAAATCTTTTCTCACCTTTTCAATGAGCGCATCCACTGATTCGGGAATCCCATCTGGCAAAAGCAACTTTCTTGAGTCATCTTGACTCACTA